TCTGTGACTGGATCGCTAACAACATTATATATCTATACATGTTATATCTGTGACTGGATCGCTAACAACATTATATATCTATACATGTTATATCTGTGACTGGATCGCTAACAACATTATATATCTATACATGTTATATTTGTGAAAGTTCGTCCTTTTGTTCACCTAAAACTTCCGGACTCCTGAACTTTCGAATTTGACAAAATTAACGGTGGTTCAGAATCATTTAAAGGGCGCATAGTTTTACTGAGGAGCCTGAAGTCACTGTTGTTTAATTTTCAATTTTTCATTAGTTTCTTTTAGATCTATTCTTGGGAAAGACCGTCTTCGCTGCAGCTCAGGACAGAGTCAAGTGGAGGTCCATGACCCCCCACGCCAGTCGGCAAGGCCCCGGATGATACTAACCTATTTAATAGTATGTGGAGGGGGTGGGGGTGGAGGGGGGTTCTTGCTTTTTCCAGCATTTAGAATTTGAATTCAGACAAAATATTCCCCGAGCACATGCAGCCGATACCACAAATGGTCGCTTTTAAGCACCAGGGGGCTATCCCGATAAGTGCTGTTTTGAGAAAATCGAAGGTAAAGTTTTTGCCCCTTGTTCAGTTTCTTTAAGAGACAAGGAGAGTTTTCTCTATAACCAAACAAATATACACACCGATTAAACGAAACTTCTCCTATAGGTACGAAAATGCTCACTTTTGGTGTTGGTCAAGATTTCTGGAAACCCCCGAGATCTGGGTTAGTCTGCTCGTCCTTAAGAGCGACCAAATTGAGAAACTGCAATTTTTTTTAATTTAAAAAATGTTGATTTGGTTTTCAACATTTGTCCCTCTGCCTTCCCCAGCGCCGAGTGGACATTCTGAAGATGGACGTGGAAGGTTACGAGTTGGAGTCTCTCCTTGCCGCGCTCAACGACGGAAGTTTGGACGACGTGAGACAGCTCAACTTTGAGTCGCACGTCTCCTGGGGCAACACAGACCCCACCAAGGCTGAGTACATCAAGGTACAGAAACACTTTGAGGTCACGTGACGCTATAATGTGACAGTGACAATTATCCGTTCCGGTCACCTGGCGCTGTTCTGTGACAGGTTTGAGAAGTCTGTTGCAGCCACTCTCCTGACTGGGTGACCAGATGGGGTATTTTGTACTTGTTGCTGTGTGACTTCAAAGTGTTAAGCAACATGTACATTAAGCTACATCCTCTTTAAGGTACATGCCAACAGCTTCTTTTGAGAGAACTTGCTTATCATCTTTTGTAAAAAAAAGATATGTATATTTATTTTATTTTTTTGGCTACTTGATTTGGCAGTTGCTTTCATTTTTTACCAGTTTTCCTTACCCAATCGTTTCGCCATTTTCTGCAGACTTTGAAGTTTCTTTTCTTTATCTTATTCTAGTTCTTCATGCTGAAACTTCTTGTCAGTTTCTGAAAACTTTATAATCTTTTTGTCAGTTTCTGCAGACTTGTAAGTGTCGTTCCTTTCTTCCATTGACGTCCTCCCCTCTCCCTCTCCCCCTCCTCCCTCTCCCCGCCAGTTCCTGGGATTGCTCCGCAAGGTGTACGAGAAAGGTTTCCGGATCTACCTGACCCACAGGAACTACATGTACAGCAGCTTCCTCAGCAGGCTCACCGCCGGCAAGAAGAGGGTGAAATGTCACGAGGTACACACCGTCAACATCAACCACATCAACCCGGGATGGCGGGAGAAACAGCAGCAACAGCAGCTCACCTGGCGCAGAGAGACGGCGCTCAACCAGCAGCAACAGCAGCA